GCACCAATTATTGTGAAGGTGGCTCAGAAAGCAGGGGTGCGAGAGCAGAAATTGTGAGAAAGAACAAAGTGCTTGCTGCGCCATGGTCCTGCAGAGAAAAATGTTTTTCAAGTGTGACATCTTGGACTCAACTATAGGAGGAAAGTACACTGAGAATGCAAGTGGAAGAAAAACTCATGAAAGTAAAGTAAGGGTAAGTGTCTCTGAAAACAACAGGTGAGAAAGAGGTTGTCTCTGTTCCTGTCGACCTTTTCTTTCTTTACGCCTTTTCCCTGCTGCTCCGAAGTGTACTCTCGCACCCTGGCTGCCTTAGTTGCTCTGCCTTTGAGACAAAACAGTATGGCCAAAGCTCAGGGTAGCTTGTACCAGTGTTGTGCTGCAACTGTGCAGCTGTGGGCAGACCTTAATTGGCACATTAAGGGAAAATGAACATCCTAATGAAGCACAAGTGTGACCGTATGCTCCTGAGGCCATTCCTTCTTAGAACAGCTTTGTCATGCTCTTTACTATATGGTAGCACAAGTGAGTCTGCCTTTGAAGACAAGTATTCAATGCAACAACTAAAAACTAATTACAGCCTACTGCTGTCTCTATTATAGCCTGAATGGCCCTATTCATATTTACTGTGTAATATAAAGGAGAAATGGCCTGTTGTATGTCTCAGAGTAGCTACTGGGCTGTCAACAGAATAATAATGGTACTGTGTTGTCTGTAATGGTAAACTTTTGACCGCAAAAAGGTAGCACCTGGTAGGAAACTGTGACAATGATACAGTATATTTATACCTCCTTCTGTGTTTGCATTACTGTTTGTGTGTGTGTGGGGGGGGGGTATGTGTGTGTGTTTAGGGGAGCATGTACACTCATGGGAAAAACTGTGCCACTGTTGCTGTTTATTCCAGACCACTCCATTCATGTTGCTTACAGTAGCAGCCATTTAACATGGCCCTTCCCAGTCAAACGCGAGACGAATTGCAGCCTATTTCCCTGCAACTCCCAGAAAAATCCCCTGCAACTTTCCACCACTAGAGTGACCCCTTCCTTCTCCTGGGCGTGCATATTTTTTTACTCTTGACTTCACCCTTTCAGTGGATTACAGAGTCTGACCAGGAGATGGTGCTTCTCTTTAGATCTTGATGTCCACAAGTCATGACAGAATATTTTTAGTACAAAGATTAAAGTTAAAAAAGAATTGTATGGGGACCAGCCAAGGATCCATCAAGGGAACTGGGGAAGTTATGAATGACCACTACTGTACAGTATAAAACATAGATCTTTATTGTTGTTATAATTGTGATAATGATGATGTTGATAAGGCTGTTTATGATACATTTGTAACGCTCTGATATGTTTCTCATTATTTTAATGGATTTTATAAAGGTCAATGCTTACGATAACAGATAAATTGCTTGACACTGCAAATGAAGGAGCCATTTAGATAATAATCCTAACTTTGTGTATTGTTTTTACTCTTTGCATTCCACTACTTGAGAGCTGATGTGTCTTTCTTGTACTGTAGATGAAGCCACTAGAGTACTAAAACTGTTCACTCTTTATTTTTCCTTTATTATGTAAGTATGAAATTGTCAGTCTGCTCCTAATACATGCAAGTAAGGGTGTAGGAATTACTTTAGAGTTTAGTTCTGAGTTTGCTTGGGTACAAAACCAGTCTCTAGGTACTCAGTTTAACAAGAACAGCAATGCTTTTCTTGCCTGAACATTTCATATTTCACAACAACTGAAGTACAGATAAGCAAGATCCTCATGAAATAAGCATAATGCTGCTCCCCTAGTGGTGGCCTAGTGGTTAGGGCATAGGGCTTTGAGTCCTGAGGTTGTGATTTCAAACCCCCCCTCCCAGACTGCCACCCTAAGCAAGACCAAAGGGGATGGGTTAAATGCAGAGTATTAATTTCGTTGCTCTGTACTTGTGACAGTGAAATGACAATAAAGTTGAATTCTATTCTATAATGCTAAAGCCTTGATATAGCTTTATATTAAGGTTTCTAATTTTAAAAGTTTAAATTTAGCAGATTAATATTGGATATTTTACTTAATGAATGTAAATGGGACTGAGCTTGACATTAGAGTCTAAAGCAATGGCAAAAAAATCTTAATCAAAATCCTATGGATTAATTTTACAGAACACCATAAAATGCTGAAATTGCACACCTCACAGTTTGGACAATTTTTTGTCCAAACCTATCATAAAACAGATAGGTCTTGCTTAGCACCTTCTACACAAATACTCATTATTAAAATTAGATCAGAAGCCTGTACTGTATACTATCCAAACAAACCTTGTTTTCCTTTAGCTTCATGTAAATCATTTAAAAAAAAGATCCCAAGAATCCTAAGGCAAAAGTTTTTTTGTTTGTTTTTAAATAAAAGTTTAAATCAAGTTTAAAAAAAAAGTTGTTTATAGGGTTTACCTTGTTATACTTTCTTAACATAGCATTACCTTTCTTTTTTATTTCCTTTTCAACTACTCAATAAGAATATATATGTGTGTGTATGTATGTGTATATATATATATATATATATATATATATATATATTACACATATACAGTATATTACACATATATATATATATGATTTATGCCACATTCACTCAATGTTCAGTATTCGTTGCTTGGTAAAAGACGTCTGCTGAGTAATTGAGTAAATTTTATTTACAGTATAAAGCACTTCTCACAAAGTGCTGTACATAAAAGAAAGAAATAAAACTACTTGAGGGCTACTTGATGATTGCAGAGAAACAAAACATTAACTTCTTCTCAATAAAGCATAAAACAGTTCTAAAAAAAGAAAATGAATTCTGTTTAAGTCGTCTTTAACTTAGGTATTTTTACTAAAATTGTTACTGTAATTCTGTTTATTGTTAATATACCAGCAACTGAAAGGTTAAGTTAGAACATTCCACTTGAGAGTATCACTGCTGCCACCCTCTGTTTTACAGGTGAAAAGCTGGTTCTGGATGCTGTAATGTTTGTTCAAATTGGAAGCAGAAATCACATGGTTGGGATGGCCATAAGGATGCCCACTGATTGCCTTGGGTGTGGCCATAGCCACCTCTGGCTCGTCTTCTAGCTCCGCCCTGGAGTGGAAGACCAAAGGGGGCGCTTAGAAGAGTAGGGAATAAGCATCTTAGCACTGTACTGCGACGCCTGACAATGCAAGGCTCTAAAAGTCAGCACCAAGATTTTAAAATCAATTCTTTATTTGCCAGTGAAGAGCTGATAAAGCAGTCTGGCAGAAGAGTTTTGTATGATCTGTTGTCTATTTAGGGATTACTTATTGAAACGCATTAAAACAAAATTACAGCAGTCAATTTCAATGAAATAAAAGCATGAATTATCATTTCAAGATCAGTCTCCTACTTGTAGATATATATCTGTCGGGGAAAAAGCAGTGTTTGTCAGCTGTTGTGAATGACCTTCCAAAAATATATCCTGATCAAACATGAGTCCAAAGTTCCTGAGGCTGGTTTTCACAGATGAGGCCAGAACACCTACAATAGGTGTTTTTGAATCAGCTGGATCTTTTTTATCGAGGGCAATCATCCAAGTAGTGTAGGAGACGGGAAAAGAAGAACCAGGCTAGACCTGTCTGAATTTACAGCCCTTCACTTCCGGCCTTCATGTCTGTGCCATTTTTGAAGGACCTGTCCCAGTTAGACCACGTCTGTCGTAGAATGTAGCCCCTAAGTTTTGACACAGCTTTAGCTATAGATGCGTTAATGTGCGGTTTTTCCCTTTTCTTTTCTTTACTTTGTAACTTTGTACTTCACAGCTGTCCTGCTTCTATTTTTAATTCCTAGCTGCACAAAGCAGTTTTCAGAGTACATGCAGTAACAATCCCTCCCATCAACTCCAGCTGATAAGGACAGTTTGCACCTATTTTTGTGTCAGGTCCCTGTTGTACTTATACCCTCAATCAAAGCAGATGTGGAAGAGATTGAAAGATTATGAACAAGTTTTTACTTGAAAATTATTATTATAATTAACACATTAACACAAAGTTCTGACCTGTGGAGCTTTTGTTTAAAGCTCAGCTGCATGTAATTAGAAGAATCATTTTAAAATTAACTCCCTAATTGATGAGTGATGGTGCAGATTGATAAAAGCCCCTAGAGGGTGTATTTGTTTAATTTATTCAATTTAGGTTTAAAAAACTTTGGGTGTTGCTTTAAAAATTTGATTTTTTGTTTTATTATTGTATATACCCCTTTATATAAGACTACTGTGAACTGATACTTGCCTCTTTTAACGTATAAATGTCAATGTTGATTTGTTTAAAAAGTTATTTTTTGACTTAAGCAAAGCAAAGCAATGAACATACTGCAATAGTAAATAGTGTTATAAAAAAGAAAAGCTTACATACAGTTACATCCAGTTGATATGATTTACTAAAGAATATTCTGAACTTCTATTGAGGAGTGCTGGCTGTATGAGAATACATGTCCTACATATAGGAGGTCTTACCTCCTGTGTCTGAGAACTCTGAGACCTCCCTCTGAATCTAACAATGTGCTTAGCCCACTAAACTTGTTCCAACCCCAATGCACCAGCCAAAAGAAACAGATCGCTTGGTTTGTGTGACCATTGCCAAGTAATATAGACTGTGTTAATGTTTTTGGAATTGGTTTATTATTTTAATGTAAGTAAAACATATTTTAGGGAGTACCAGGATCACATAGTTGCTATTGTGCATTTTTGAAACAGACATTTATTTTTGCCTTTGTATGAATAATACCTATCCAAATAATATTTTGAAAGAAAAATGAACAAAGTGATTGATCATATGTTGACTCTAGATCTGAACTAAAGATGCCCCTTTAGACATAATTTCATCTTCATTGCCCACTGCGGATTTTGTAAAATGTAATCAGTCATTGATATTATACTTTTGTGGTTACAGTTCATTATGGATGCATGCACTGAATTATGGATTGCACTAACTGTATGAAACTCAATTGTAAATCTGTTCATACCTGCAGGGAGTTCAGCCACTGGAAGGTGAACAGCTTGGCGACAGAGAAGAGAGATTTTCTCAAAGCTCCGTTGCCCTTAGCACCAGAGTTCCTACGCAACCTGCGGTTACTGGGGCGACGGCCAAGCTTGCAGCAAATACACGAAAACCTCATCAAGAAGTATGGAACCCACTTCCTGGTTTCGGCTACCCTGGGAGGTAAGGAGGACCTACATATTTTCATTTTTAGGAAGTGTTTGGGAAGAAAACAAAATTGAGGATGTTCTCGTTTGAAGATCTGTAGTGAGTACACCACTACAGACAAATTGAACATTTATCTTTTCCTTTTACTTTCTATTGAAAAAAAATTAGACTCAACCATAGATGTCTAAGACAACAGAAAAGGAAAATAACTAAGTTATTGGTCGCCATATGCTGGAGCTTTTTTCAGCCTTCACCCCTGCAGAGGAAAAAATGTGTTTGAGGAAGAGTCTGTATTTAATTGTTCACTTAAATAAAAAAAGGTCTTAGTATTTCTACCAAAAGAACTTAAATACCTCCATTATGAAGTTTTGTCGGGAACATGAGTATGACTGTGGGAGGCATGAGATGAATGCAGTGTCGGCATGAGATGAATGCAGTGTCACACTGATAGGTAGACTCTTATGCTTAATTAACAGTCCAAGCTAAATGTGCACAACCAGTCTGCATACTGATTAGACTCAAGTAGAGCAAAAGTGCACATTCTTGATGTTGATATGATCTTTTTTCAGCTAGATTTCTCCATTCCTGTTTCATTTAAGTCAATTTTGTCAGCTTCATCAATCTTTTACATGCAGTTTGCTTAAGCGGAAGCAAGTAAACTCATTCAATGAAGCTGTAAAGCTTTACCATGTCATTTTTTATCATTATGAATTAAGCAGTATTGAAATGCTGGAAGAAAATGAGACTCTCAAGTTTAAATAATTCATTGCTGAAACATCAGCCAGCAATAACCACATTCAGGGACAAAATGATAGCAATGCTTTAGTCTTTGCACAGTTAAGCAAGCTAGCTGATTAAGTGACAGAGACATTATGCAGAGTTGTTCTACTTAGTGTCAACTTAAATGGTAGTTGACACAAGGGTCACGATCACCGGTATTACAGAAGCAAGCCCAGCCTTGAAGTAACAAATGCATTGAATATTTTCCTAGAAATTTCAATTTTTTTCAATATTTCATAGATAAAAGAAGAAAATTCTACAAATCTCTTTGATATGCAATTTAAATGACAAGTCCTGATTAGCCCTAAAAATTATACCTTTTTTTTTTTTTCTTTACTCTGAGATCAATTTAATCCCAGCCATATTAAATGATTTATTAATCAGCTTCTTTCCAAAAATTCTGGTCTAAAGAAAATAACTTCTGCTTTGCCAGCATTCAAAAGCAGGACGTTTAGAGTCATCAAGGTTTGTATCTCTTGAAGACACGACTGTAGTCTGTGTAGTGGGTTGGATTCATCAGGATTCATGGATGGGGAGACAATTTAGCAAGATCAGCATAACAATTATACCGATAAGCCATGCCTTTCAATATTTCTACCAGTAAGAAGTATATATGTTGTAAAAAAAATTGGCCATAGAACGGATCCTTGTGGTCCACTACAGGTAACCATTGAGCTTTTGGAAGATTTGTCATTGACAAAAAAAAAACAAAAAAACTATATATCTGCCAGGCAAATGAGATTTTAACCAACCTAATACTTCTTCCTTAATCCCAACTGAATGTTCAAGCCTTTCTAACATAATGTTTTGATTGACTGTATCAAATTTAGCGCTGAGTTGTAGCAGGAAAAGAAAAGATGCAGGTACATAATCTGAGGCCATGAGAGTAACACTGATTTTCACCAATGCTATGAAAAGCTCTGAAACCTGACGGAATCTCTTCAAAAATGTATTTACGGTGTAAGCAGTCACACTTGCATAGGAATTATTTTCTCAATAAAATTGGCTAAAAAAAATAGGATTAGATATATGGCTATAATTGACCAAGTCGCTTGAATCAAGAGGTTTCTTATGCAAAGGTTTAATTACAGCTACCTTAAAAGCCTGCGATAAATATCCCTGTAACATGAATAGATTAATTGTATTGAAAATCAGGTGGAAATCAGACGGAATACTTCCTTAAATAACCTGGTTGGAAGTAACATATGATGACATGTTTCTAAACATGTCCTTACTGATCAGATGAGGGAGGGACGCCTGAGAAAATGACAAAATCAAATTTGGCAAACTGGAACGCCTAAGCAACACTAATTTTAGTGACCTCCAGTTGGTGTACCTGGTGTCATTGGTTGAACAACAATCTCACTATATTTAGTGAGATATTTAGCTAGTGGGCCTGGTCTAACTCTTAGATGTTCAACAGCCCAAAGATGGGACTCTAGCTCTGACTACTTCGCCTCCGAAGCTACAAAAGATACTACACTTATTACTCATATGATATGGTAGCAGAGGAACAAATGAAAATAAAAGAAAATCTCTGGCCCACATATTGCTAAAGGCATTATGGCATAATACATTTATTTTTATTTTTTTTCCACTCCTTTCCAACTTATTGTGGTCGGAGGCTTCATAAAAGATGGCTGATGCCACAACAGTCACAAAAGGTCTTTAGCAGCGCCCCCTGCGGTCCAAAATACCTCAGTGTCCTCAGCAGGGAGAGTCTGCTCTTATCTTCCTTGTGGAGAGCCTCAGTGTTGTATACATTTGTCCGTAGGAATTTGATAAGCTTTAAAAAGCATGAAATAGGACCTTTAAAATACAGTATGTTATGTATTCTCTCAGTGGGCTTATAACCAAATTAAAGGTAGTCACAAAACCCTCATAGGTAACCAAAGTAAAAGCCTTTTCTAGACTTTATGTCCTCTAGTTGTCTAGTATAAGATGATACTATAGAGAAAACATGCTAAATTATCTGATACTAAGCAAACACGAAACTACGATGGCTTTATTTTTTTAAAAGAAAGTAAAAAAAAAAGTGAAAGAAATATGTATTTATTTAATTAGTAATTGATTAATGAAATGAATTGATGTTTGATTCACAGGAGAAGAGTCTTTGACCATTTTCCTGGACAAGCAGAAACTAAATAAGAAGTCAGAGGGCAACAGTAACAGCTCTGTGGTCTCTCTGGAGCTGCTCCATCAGCTGGCTGCTTCTTATTTTACCGATCGGGAGAGCACCCTTAGGCGACTACACCACCTCCAGATTGCAACCTCTGCTATTAAGGTACTGCACTCATTTACTCAGCATCTTTATTTACAGTACATATCTTGATGCATAATCTTTGCTTCAGGGTCCTTTGAACAATGCTGCACATACACTGCATTTCTTATGCAAATGAAGTGTTTACTTGCCAAACGCACTTTTATTTGCTTTTTTTAAGATTCACCACCCTGCTATGAGGGTGGACAGTCCATCATTAACATTATTGTAAAACTTCGTATTGTAAAGCCTGGGATGATATTAATTGGCATTACGCCTGTAACAGACAGCTCTAATAAACAATTGTTTTAAAGATTATTGTTGCGGTGCATGGTTTCATGGCTCATGAGATTAAAGAGGGTTCACCAAAACAAGATTTTTTTTTTCTTCTTTTTTATCTTAAGAGGCCGGTGTTGATTTATGACACAATTTCTAGGCTTTAACTCTCAAAGGGACCAAAGCATGGCAAATGTCAGCTTTCTCTAAGGTCTCAAAGGGAATTATATACATATGCAGGTACATATTGTACCCCATTATCTGCCATCTGGAATAATTTGTTCTCTTCTCGTGGTAAATATGTTAGGAATATGCTGCATTTTCAGGACTTATTGGTATAGATAGTACTTGTAGGGATCAACGGCTGCTCCCCATGAGGAGAAGTTTTTCTCTGGGGATGAGGTTAGGTTTAGTACTAAGGTTGTGATTTGAGGTTCGGATCGGTTTGGGGTCTGGTATGTGTTTGTAATGGTTTTGGTTTGGGTAAGGGTATGGCTTAAGTTATACAAAGGAGTGGGAAAATTACAAGTAAAAATGTTTAAGGGGTACAGTTGGTTTAAAAAAAAGATTCATAACGTTATATTTTCTCTGACTAGCTTTACCTTGTAAAGGTCCTTATTTGCCCTGTGACGGCTGGGAAAGCATTACCAAGAAATACATTTTTCACATATCTGCAGCCTTTCCTGTGGTGACAGCAGGTATGTGGGTGGGTGGGCCATGCTTCTCCTTGTCAGCTTGAATAACAAATCTAATTGAAATGACAAATAATTGGTTAAGTGCCAAGTTCATATGATGGCTGTACATATTAAGTAGTTTTTCCTAGTACTGTAGCCCCACTTGCTAAGCACTTTGTATGCAAAGGTTACATTGGCTCTCGAACAGTTTTTTTTATTCCAAAAGCCCTTGTAAAATAGTCCAAAGCACTACATTGCTCTTCTGCATAGATTTGAATGTTTGAAAAAGACAGGGAGTCAAAGGCCTCTTGGACTTAAAAAGAAAACCAATGACTTTAACCTGAGAAGAAAAGGCATTTTTAAATCGAGAACAAATTTGAAACACTTAAATTTTGCTTGAGATGTGTTACTAAAAAATTTGTGGAAAATAATCTAATCCTCACCTCAACCTTTTTTTAGAGTGGGAGAATTCATACAATTAGAAATGCACCCAAAAGTTCTTAGCCTGTCTGTGTTAACTAAATATTAGCCCATCAGACAATAAATAACTTTTAAACATTTCTTTCATCTGTATTTAATATGTGGCATATTTTTAACTGGCGTTGAAAAATGGTGTGTTAGTGTTCTACCAAAGCAGTGAAAAAACTTATGGATAATAATGATAAATACAGATTGCAGATCATGCCTATGTTTAAATATAGTTCAGTTTTATGTAAAATATTATTGTGTAAAACAGGTAATGTCTTAATTTAACCTACCAAAAGTGTCTCCCAAAGTAATTTGCAGCTCTGGAGGAACTTCATAGATTCAAACCTTAATATTTGTCTATTAAAGAATTTAACTCAAAGAAAGTTGATTCAGCTCTTACGGACAAATGGCAACTGTTATAAAATAATCACACGCCACCAAAATTAAAATAATGTTCACTTATATTCAACCTAGTATACCCTAACACAGTATTATTATTTCTAATAAACCATTCAAACACTACAACTACTAGAAAAAACACAGTATACATGAAAGAATCAGTAAAGATGAAAGGGGTTTTAAATCAGTCCTTGAGGTAGAGTCTTTGATAACATTAGGTTCATTAATTGTGATGCATTGACGAAACAGATATCCCACAAACAGGTGTGTAACAGTAGTCTGTGGTAAAATTTAAATCAATCAAGTTTCACTTAATCCAATAATGAACCATTACCAATAAACACAATGCATTTAATGTGACAGTATTGACAGGTGTATGTGGGGATAAGAGGCTTCTGTTATCAATGCAAGAGGATTGAAATGCAACACATTTCACTGGATTCACCTGGATCTTCTTGTCACCTCAGTCTCTCAGAATCATTTCAATACAGCACCACAGACTTTGTAGAATCTTTACCTTTAGTTTACCTGTCGAGCTTAGAAGAGCATCTTCAGGTTACACTCAGCTCAGCTGCGTTTTTGCTTACTAACGGGAGGAGATGGAAGGAGACAGGCAGTGACTCTGCGGGTCCAGAAAGAAAAGGCTTACATATGGCACCTGAGATGCACTTCTGTACAGGATGAAACCTGGGGCTATCTCAGTTTGTCGACAGGTGAAGTTTTAAAACCTCCTGATTGATCGTAACAGAACTGGTGATATTAGCACATTAAGGCTGGGTTTAGGCTCTTCCACTTTGAAAAGCAGGGTGCAGTCACTTTTGCCAGCAGAACAAGGACCACAGCTCCAGAGTTTTCCACCATGTGTAATGTGATCTCAAGCTGGAATGCTGGGTCTTTGCATCCAGGCCAGTGCCGCATCCTCTTTAGTTTTAAAGGGGCGACGGTCTAGAATGTGATGTCAAAGGTACCTGCTGCATTAAGTGAACATGAAACCCAATTCATAACAGTGAAATTTGTCATCTTTGAGTAACAGATGTATATTTATATATTTATCTTTACCTATTTTTTTATTTACCAACCAAGGGAATTTTTTTATTGTACCTCATATGATGCTAAGGTGAATGTGCATCAAATCATACTTTAGATTGCATAATAGATTGTTACTTAAGGTACATTAGACTTATTTAAAAAAAGGGCTACATGCTGCCATTTAGACATACAGCCAATTTGACAATTGGAGTGGTGAAAAACTGAAAAATGTTATGCTCTAAATGTTGAGCTTTTTTATGTTTTTATTTGCCTTTTTGTTTAATGTTAGTGTAGCTAGTCTCGGCTTTTACCAATGAATGCTGTGGGATGTCAAGCACCTCGCTGTATTCAGCAGCATGGACAGTTGTACAAGAGAGGCATTATGAGTGCTAATGAAATTACACACACATTAAAAAAAAATTATTCTAAAAGAGCACAATAAGACAATACGTTTTCTTTTGTGGCTCCGGTGATCGTGTATGCGGGCCTGTGTCCGACGCTCACATTCAGCTGGTTATACTAGTGTTTCGTCCGACTGTGTGATCCACTACCATTGTTGTGTTCCTTTAGCCTGTTTTAGTCCTGCTTCATTTTCTAGAGCCTGACGGGCACCTGCTTTGTGGTGTGTAGAATGTTTACTTTGACTACAGTTGTGGCAAAGATGCGAACATTACGCATCACCATCTCACTCCCGCTAAATGTCCTCCTCAGCAAAAATGCTTAGAAGAGCCTGGACCTCATCATCCGTCTAATGGTCATAGCTTCTCCTCTTCTGCTCCATCATGCATTTAAGAAATTAGACAACGGTAAACTACACAACTGCAAAAACTGTGAGTTTATGTGTGTTGGCTGTAACAAAACAGTATTTTAAAGATGATGAGATGGGTGGACTTAAAAAAAAGAGACCAAACAACCCATCAATCATTGCTCCTTGCAACTAAGCAGAGCTCAGTTCTAGGTTGCTCCGTGAAAGGAAAGCGCCGATAATGCCAATTAATCGGGTTATTCTCTATGTAAAAGCAAAGCGTGTTTTGCAAAGCCTGGGGCTTTTGAGCAGCAGCGGAAAAGGGGCTATTCAAAGCTAACGGAGATCTAATTACTGATGAGTAAAAAAAATTAATTCGTCAGCCATATTATAAGAGGCTGTACCCTAATACAGAGTGAGGAAGGAAAATATATTCTAAGGTAAACTAGATTCAGAAATGTGGCTGTTTTGTACATCTAAAATTTTATGTATAAGAAAAGGAATTGGTAGATCTTAAGAAACAGCCAAATAAAATTAACTTTATACTCTTAAGAGAATGTAAATGTCATTCCATTTCCAACATAAAAATAACATTTTGAAATGTCAGTACATGGAAAAACAAAATCTATATAAGTCTATGTAAGACAAAACCCACATCAAAGCTGTATACTGTACATACACAGACATTAAATCCATAAAATCTTATTTTATACCTTCCCACTATATGAAATGTCTAGTGTGTGGGCCATTTCAAACAATGTGTTCTGCTATATAAATTCATCACACAAGAGGAAGCAGCACTGAGTGGGATGTACATGACCTGCGTCCATGTTTTCCACTGGGCTTTGTGTCTTTGCAGCACCAAGTAGGAGGTTGAAGTGAAGCATATAATAATTCTCTCTACAAACAATGGAGATAATGTGGATGAATCTAAGCTGTAGATCATTTTGAAAATATTTGCTAGCAAAAGACTTTAAGAAAATTGCCATTCAAAGTTGTAAGGAGAAACTACATGTGATGCAAAGGAGTGTATATACTATATTTTTGCAGCTGCTAAGAAACCAGTTTGCCAGAAATCCCTACAGCCATTGAATTTTATTTAAACATTTTAAGAATTTATTTAAATATTATACAAAATGTATATGTACACATTACAGTTGCAAACATAATTATATAAACAAAAGCATTTCAACGATGCATTTCAATGTGCTTGCTTACTATTAAGCCTCCGTTATTTTTTAAGGACATATTTTAAAATTGGTTTAGTAAGCTGCAAAAAACAGTATAGATCTAAATAATAAAAATCTTACAAACAAAATACAGTCACCATTTTGGGTAGGAATAAATGGGACCTATAGGTAATTTCCTGCACAATAGTTTTTTTGTTGTTTTTTTTTTTTTTATTCAGCTTTACCATTAATAATAATTTTATA